AACTCTAACAGTAAGCGTGTTCAAACAAGAACAAACCAAAGATGGGTGATCTCGAGAAAAGCTACACCAAATGGACTAAACCATGAGAAAAATAGGCAAAAGCAAATAATATTTTGATGATTAAGAGTTTAGGTTTATAAAAATGGTAACAGAGCAATACACCAATGAAAAGATGGGTACTAGGTGTCACACATGACAGTGTTATATCATGGGAGTCACTTCTTGAACCCTATATAGGAGAAAATGCTATATAATGGAACCGCTAATTGAACTTGTAGGAGCCACCTCTGAATTCTCATATGCTTGGTGAATGATTCTAGTCTAAGAATATTGATCCTGCCATCAGTTACTTAAATGGGAATATTGTGAAGCCCCTTAAGTTGAATGAAGCTAAATCCATGAATATTGAGATACATTTTGATATAATAGTTGAAATGTTATTACAAACTTCATAATTAAATATACTTATATATGAGCGCTCTTAGGATAGGTGATCTTTTTTGTTTTTCATACAACTATACAACACTGCAGCGTTGTGTACCCGACCTCTACAGTGTTGTATAGTTTGCTTGGAGACAGACAGAGGGCGGAGTGCTACGGTGCTCCAGACCTCAGCTTTATGGCGCTATCAGACATATTGGAGAAAAAAAATGGAGCGTCACGGTGCTGCGAGACAGGCGGGCATTTTTCTTTCTCATTTTTCAGTAAGGGTTGCATTCCTTTGTGATTTAAGTGAGCTTCTCTTTGTTTTGTTTGTATGAGAATGGTTTTAGAGTGAAGAAAGACAGAGAAAGCAAGAGAGGAGAGATTTGTATTATTTGTCCCAAATTTTCATAGTGAATTTTTTTGTGGTGTGGCTTTGTATTTTTTTTTCCATATTTCTAATTTTTTATGTTAAATCTTAGTGTTCTTTTTTTCTACCGCCATTTTCTATTTCTTGTATTATATTCATTGTGTGATTTATTTTCCCAATAGAGCCTAAAATGAACACCTAGCTATTGGTTTACAAAACAAATAAGCCACCACCCTCTCAATAGGAATATGCATCAGAAGCATTAAGATGTAATTGAGTGAGAACATGATACATCATAATGTTTAAAAACTCTCATTTAGCATATGGTATGATGATCAATGTAGAGAGCTCTCATGTGAGAGATTATTAAGGAATGTGAAAGCCTCAGGTTTAATCATAATATCAAATAGTTGAAAAATAAATCAAGGGTCAATTGATATTTTAACATTATTATTTTGTTTACCTGCTTGACGTAGAATTAAACACAAGGCTTTCATGCACCTTAACAATCTTCTCCTCTACCATCCACTTTCCATCAAGACAAATTTTTTTAACAACTATGAGAAATCAGAGAATGTCTCTTTGCCACTGTAAACGGCACTCGATTTACTGTATGGAAAGGAATGTAAAGCAGAGAGATAGAGATGATGGAAAGGCTAAACTCAGAGTTCTATTTCTATGTAAACAGTAAACTTATACATGTGTTCTAGTACATTTCTGTGGTCTTGCATGGGTATATATACACGATTGTAATGTGGCTTTACATGTGTATGGCTATGATTGCTTTAGGTAGTTATAATCATGTGGCTCTCATTTGCTCTACAAAAGAGGTGGCCATGGACATCTGAGGATTGGTGCATTGGGTGGAGGAGAGACAAGTGATCATGTCCCTTATTGTTGGAGCGCTAGGTATTCTGTGACCATGGCGGATCTCCATTAAGGGTATTTAGAGGCCTCAACGTAGGTGTGGTTGGGTCGGAGGGAGTAAGTGTAGTTTGGCTATGAAGATCTAGAATTTGCCTTGGTTTTAGGGACCTTATTTTTAGGCGGGTGATCATGGGGTGAGTGGGGTGAGGAGTTGATGTGGAGGATTGGGGAGGAGGGAAGGGTTCTGATTGTGGATGTAGAGTGTGGGATGGAGGTTGTTGAGGTGGCAGATTGGAGGGTAATGGCAATGTAGTGGTGGGTTGAGTTGAAGGTGGCGTGAGGAATGTGGGTAGGAGTTGTGGATTTGTAGAGGTAGTGGAGGGGGTGGTAGGGATGGAGGGTTTAGGTTGGAGAAGGGAAATATGGATTCATCGAAGTCGACATGGCAAGATATGTAGATGCGGCTGGTTTTTGAGTCAAGACATTTATAGTCTTTGTAGGAGGTGGCATAGCCAACGAACACTGAGGGAGGGGATTTTATGGAGAGTTTGTGATGAGCTGTGGTTGGTAGGAGGGGAAAGCAGGAACACCCAAATATGCATAGATGAGCGTAGGATGGTGGATGTTTGTATAGCAAATGACGTGGAGATTTGTTAGAGATGTTTGGTGAGGGCATTAGGTTGATCAGGTATATTGTGGTTAGGAGAGTGTCCAACCAAAGATTGCAGAGAAGGTAGGCTGTGAAGTAGAGTTCTTGTGGTTTTAAAAATGTGGCGGTGTTTGTGTTTGGCCAAGCCATTTTGTTCAGGTGTGTAGGGGCAGATGATTTGATGAGAGATTCCGTCGGCTTGTAGGTGAGTTTGGAGATTTTTGTTAACAAATTCAATTTTACTATCACTACGCAGCCGAAGAATTGTTTTTCAATTGAATCATAAAATATTATGAAGAATTTTGGAACGTCAGATTCATGCATGAGAGAATATTCAGGTAAAGCGAGAGAAGTCATCTATAAATAACACGTAATATTTAAAGCATAGACTAGAGGGAATTGGGGACACCCCATGCATCACTGTGTATCAGTTCAAGAAGTTTGTAGGTGTGATTGCTAGATTTAAAGAAGGGAAGTTTATGACCTTTAGAGGTCTTACATGAAGAGCATAAAGAAAATGCAAGAGATATAGCTAGTGATTTGTTTTGTTTGGAGATTGTTGCCATGGCTTGTTGATGTGGATGACCAAGGCGATGGTGCCAACAAAGCTGAGTAGAGACTGCGGCGGTGAGAGATGGATGTCCTCGTGTGTGGAGAGGTAAAGTAAAAATTAGATAAATGCCATCACAACATGGTCCCGAGAGGAGAGTGGAGTTTGTCTTCAGTTCCTTGATATGAAAACCGGAGACGTTAAATAAAATGGAGACATTATTATCTTTATTGAGTTTATAAACAAAAAGGAGGTTATGAGAGAGTTGAGGAAGATGAAGTAGGTTGGGAAGCAGGAGCTTATACCAATATGGGCAATGGCCAAAGTGGGCAATGGCAAAGTGCTCATGTCTCCAATGGTAACAATGTCTATACCATTGTATTCCACTTGTTGGTAGAGATTGTCAAAATTGTTGGTGATATGAGATGAGGCGCTTGAGTTGAGGATCCTGTCTGAGCTAGGTTTCGATTGAGCTTCTACCAATATTGTGGAGTAATTTGGGGTTGGTTACTAAGTGTTGAGACGGTGTCGGCAAACGTTTGGGGTATGATCTTTCTTGCCGCATATCTCGTAGATTGGGAGTGGAGCGCTCTATTGGTGGGAGGGGGTAGGTGGTCGAGGGTTGTTGCGGTGAATGTAATGACCATAGGTGTAATGTTTATAGAAGCATCATCAGCTGCGGCCACATCCGCGAAAGAGTAGAGATCTTCAAGACTAATGGGGTGGAGCATTTTGCGTATGGATGTCTTAAATGTCTGGTATTGTTGGGGTAGACCGTTTAGGGTGTAGAATGATAACTTTGGTGTCTATGGTGGAGCCGACGACTGTTATGTTGTCGAACAAGGTTTTGATTGTGGTGAGATATTGCAGCATCATAGATTGACCCATGGAGATATGGTGGAGCTCATTCTTAAGTTGGACCACTCTAGAGCGATTTGTCGCATGCAATCAGCATTCTAGGGTAGTCCAGATGTTTGATCAAGTATCGAGGTTGAGGACATATTGGAGGATTCTGGGAGAAAGGGTGGAGCATATGGCAGTAGCAAGAGTCCATTGGTTGAATGCAGGGTTCCGGTATGAGATACCGTCGGGCTGTATGATGAGATGAGGTGTTGCTGCTATGGTTTTGTCTAGGAAGGAGATGTAGTTCTTTGCTCGAAATAGTTTAGTGATCTGACATCTCCAGGCCAATTAATTGTCATTTGATAGTTGTATAGGCACAATGTTATTGATATTGGAGAAGAGGAACTTTAGAGAGGAATGGGTGCGGCTTCTGTGTAGCCTTCAGTGGAGATCTCGCCTGTATGAGACAAGGGAGATGATGCCATTTGAGGAGATTATGGCAGTGAGCCAGATGGCTTTGATACCATGTAAACTGCACTCGATTGGCTTTGATACCAGGGAAATGAATGTTGTACACATTGTAAAGCAGAGAGAGAGAGGGAGATGATGGAAAGGCTAAACTCAGAGTTTTATTTCTATGTAAACTTATGCATTCGTTCTAGTACATTACTGTGGTCTTGCATTGGTATATATACATGATTGTAATGTGGCTTTACATGTGTATAGATATGATTTCTTTAGATTTATAATCTTCTGGCTCTCATTTGCTCTGCAAGAGAGGTGACTGCTCCACATGAAAGCTGCTATCAAGTTGATCTGCTTTATTATTACGGCGAATGGAAGCTGCTGTTTTTAGCCACTGATCATGTGCAAAGCATAAATTAATAAGTCAAATAGCTTTATTTCAACTCTCAGTCTCCAACACTCAACGAGATCCATCAGGGTCATTTTTTATGCGAGGAATTGGATTAAATCAAATGAAAATTTTGGCTTCATTTGAGACACTCTTTTTACTGTTTTCTAAAGTAATTTTCTAGCACAAAAATTTCTAGTTTAAAAAATTTTTAAACTAAAAAACTGCTTTAAAAAATAGTAAGAAAGTTATCCTAAACAAAATCTTTGATAAAAATTCTGAAGCAATTCATCGCAGATTTATGATCAAACCTAGAATTGCATGAACTTAAAGGAATAAAACCATAAATAGGACTCGCTAATCAACCGTTCTTATCAAAGAGAATTTAACTGCTTAGCAAGGAAACTGAGACAAGCGGAAAGCAAGAAAGTAAGAAGCATGCTTCTTGCTCTATTGCAAGCTATACTTCCATGCTCCAATAAAAAAAATCCTACAATGATGCCACCTAGTAAAATTCACTCTTCACTGTAACAAATTGAATAGGCAAGTTGGCAATGCTAGCTCATCTATCCTTCAAAATATGAATGGACCAATCCTGATAGGACAACATAACTAAACTGCATTCAGAAAACACAATAGTAGGAATGTTGATTCTCGTCTCTCAAGTAATAACCAGGATGGAAAAACCAAAAATCTTAGGAATATTTGATAGATCACTGATTGGCTCAGCAATAAACTACATTAAAATAGACGTTATATACGTACTTAATAAAGTCCGCCTTAAGCAGAATAGGCCTCCAACATCTTTGTGCTTGGTAATGCAGTCAGCTCCTGGCCTGCGAGCGAGCCCTGGGAGGACAAGCAAGCCTTGGTGAAGATCGTAATGGAAAGTTTGTAGAATCCTTCTGCGAAGAAACACGAGACTTTTTCATTGCTGGGATACTTTCCCCCTCTTTCATAGTAGTACCTGCTAATAGCCAAATTTTTAGCATTACAGAACAAAGCTAGTACCTACTGCTCTTCGTAAGAATTGCATAAGAAGTGCAAAGTTAAGATGACAGAAAACAATTTACCCAGTTCATCTTCACATGATGATCTTGTCCTCCTCTTGGTTAATGGTTCATTTCTGTCAGCTGTTGAATCTGTTTCAGATGTTGAATCCATGTGATTGGAAATGAATCTCTTCTTCTTTATTTCATTATTTTCAGGCGTGACAATTTCTTCAGCCTTATGTCCTGTATATGCAGTTGGTGCATTGTTTTCTGGTGTCATATCATGGTTATAATTGCTCTTCTTTCTCTGTTTTGTAGATTTTGTGCACCCTGCCCTATTTATTGCACCAGAGAATTTTTTTGTTAAATTTTCTCCCTCCACATCATCATTAGCAGGAAGTATATTTTGGGGCTCCAAAGTAGGAGATTTTGAAATTGGTGCCTTGTCAACATCATTTGGAACTGAAATTTCTTCGGGAGTAGCAGAATGTGCTGACCTTGTTGGCTTCTGGGTATTTCTTGGCATTTCAATAGGTGATCCTTGTTTCATATGAAGAGATGAAACCTCAAATTCCTTCTGCATTGAGCGGGTTAGCCTCCTTGCGTTGGTGGAGCATTTTGTCTTCTCGCCATTTAGTGAATTTGTTGAGTGTTGCAGGATTATAGGTTCGTCTTCTATGCCACCATAAAACTCTCTAGAAGGTTTCGTTTCCTTCTCCAGAGTAGCAGACATATCTGAGGAATCATGGGACTTACGCTTCCCCTCAGTTCGCAGTCGGTTTGGAGATGCTATGAATGCATTCTTGACCTCTATATTACTGTTTTTGTTTGTCCTTTTGGAGGGATTTGGATCTCTTAATACTTCATTCTGAACATAGAAAGTTGATTTAACAGAATTGGATGTAGCTTCTATAGTGGAATGTTCAGTAGTCCCAGTAGCATCACTCTGCTGTGAATCCTTATGCTTGAGAAAGTCTTGTTCCCCTGAGAAGCCTAATGATTTCTCTGGCAGTTCATGATGCACCAATGATGCCAAAGCTGCTCTGGCTGCAAGAGGAGTGAGAACTGGCTTAACTTCAGTTTCTTTTTTTACTTCTGTTTCAAGTAGATTTTTGTTCTGACTTCTAGTGGTTCTTTGGGAAGCAACTTGTCTGATTTTGGATTTCTGTTTGACAACATTAGCTGTACCTGAAAAGACGCTTCAAATAAAATGAGCATTTATTAATGCATAAGAACCTCATCAACAAGTAAACCAAAGTAATCAGGGCAAGTAATTCTATTGACTAGAGTGTTATGAATAATGCATGACAATACTGAAGAACAGCTATTACGTGGCATAATTTACTCGTAGATTATCATGGTCAGCAGGAGAAGATGCTACAGTAGAGCAGCAATGAAACGTTAAATTATTGCATCCAAACCTTCTCTCCATGATAAGCTCGTTAGCCTTTTGCTTTCTAAAGTTTTTACACTAAAGTGAAAGGCACGCCTCAATTGAGTTACGAAGCTTAGAAATAATCTAATCCTTAATGAACCAGAGCAGGAACCCAAAACTTATAAAATAAGACAAGCAGACTATAAGGACGTTATCATAAGTGGCGTTTTTTCTTTGCATAGGCTACTCAAATCTGAACTTCACTGTCCATGATAGGTTCATTGGAGAAGAAGTATTATATTTCATTTAATCTAGAACCAATAAAAGGAAAAAATCCTCTTGTCATCTGAATTTCCCAGAGGAAAAAATTCAAAATCCATACACATTACAAGCCCATAAACGAGTCGAGCACGAGCAGGCTCGGCTCACTTGCATCCCTAGTTGAAAGCAATTATTCAATCAGTTGGGCAAAGTTTTTGATAAAGAAAAATACTTCTCAAGCCAACCTTAATTAACAACCAACAACTCCTCCATTAATTTGGATTATTGATTATATTATTTCTTGTTTGTTAATCAAAATATTATTTAAAAAAGAAAAGTAATTGACACGAAAGCTTTAGAAGCTGTTGTGTATAAGAAAAGCAGGTCTATGAATTATTGCTCTTCTATAAATAGGGCTATTGTTAAAATTGGAGACAATAAATATGAGAGAATAATTTATTCAGTTGTTTCACGCTATTGAAGAGTTATATATTTATAGGTGCTTAATAATGTCAATTATTATTAATAAATAAAAAAAATAGAATACTATTAATAGGAATCAAATAAAGAAAAACAAGATTGAAGAACTGTTGAAGTGGACAATCATCCTACGATTAATTTAATCAAAGCTCATATTGTTTTATGAGGATACGGCAAGGGCCACAATAATATGTTAATATAATTGATCATTCCTAGCTTGAAAGTTAGATTATCAAATTGTGATTGATCAAGGGCTCTAGTTAAGATTTTATTAAATGAAGACTTATCAAAGTGTATTGTATTTGAATGATCCCTTAATCAATTTTTTTCTTTATAAAACACCTATCAATTTTCACGTGCTCTTATCATGGTAGATTGAATTTTTGGCAACACTAATTATAAATTATATTCAAGTCATTAAGGATATATATGCAGGAGCTGTTACTCGTGTTCAGACACAAGGAGGTTTGACAAAGTATTTTTCTATTTCAATTGGATTACATCAAGGATCAGCCTTAAGCTCATATCATTTTGCTTCAGTCATGGATGTTCTCACTAGACATTTGCAAGAGGTTGTACCTTGGTATATGCTTTTTGTTGATGATAGTCTTCTTGTTGATAAGACTAGCGAGGGAGTTGAAGGTAAACTTGAATTATGGAGGTCAACCTTAGAGTCTAAAGGCTTTCATTTGAGTAGATCTAAAATTGAATATATAGAGTATAATTTTATTAATAATAGTTCTTGTCGGGAGATTGTGACTTTGGGTGATCAAGTCATTAATAAGAGTACACATTTCAGATATCTTGAGCCTGTTGTTCAGAGTGATGATGAAATAGTTGGGGATATTATCAGTAGAATTCAAGTTGGATGGTTGAAGTGGAGGAATGCATCGGGCTTGTTGTGTGAAAGAAAAGTCCCCCTCAAACTTAAGGGAAATTTCTATAAGATGGTAGTTAGACCTGCAATGCTTTATGGTGCAAAATGTTGGACATTAAAAGAGAAGCATAATATTAAGTTAATTGTTGCAAAGATGAGGATGCTCAAGTGAATGAGTCGTTTTACTCTTAGAGACGGGATACAAAATGAGCATATACATGAAAAGGTTGGAGTAGCTCCAGTGGAAGATAAGATTAGAGAGAGTCGTCGTAGATAGTTTGGTCACATAAAACATCGACCTTCCGATGACCCGATTAGGAAAGTAGATGTATTAGATTTGACTTATGTTGAAAAAAGTAGAGATATACCTAAAAAGACTTGGTTATAAAATATTAAAAATGACTTTTCTTTATTAGATTTAAATGAGAATTTAATTTTTAACATGACATAATGGAAAAAAAAAAGAATTGATGTAGTCGACCCCATATAGTGGGATAAAGACTTGATGTTGTTGTTGTTGTACGCATTGTAGCTTATTTATCACATATCACAACCATTAATTTTTTAATGTGGATACTTAAGTCTTCCAACAACCTCTTACGCTCAATTTCTTCACAAATTCGATGGCCTATGGCCCTATTCAATGCTAGTTCTAGAAACCACCACCTGCTTTTTACTTCTCCTTGTGATAAGGCTTCTTTAAATGAATAAATAATAATCAAAGGTTAATTTTCGATCAACGATAAAGTTACCATCAGTAAAGATTTTATACTCTTCTTCATTTTCTTTTTGAAAAATAGACATTGAGTCCTTTTTAAATACCTCAATATTATATAAATTGTATCAAAGTATTCCTTCATGGGAGTATACATAAATAGGCTAACCACACTAACTGAATAATAAATGCTAGAGTGAGTATCAAGGAGATAAATGTAAAACCCGAAAACCCGCAATCAAAGAACTTCAAAAACTACACCAGAGGTTCACGATGAAGCACCTTGGACAGGCAAATCATTTTCTTGGAATCAAGATCCGGTCCTCAACAGATAAGTACTTTCTATCACAAACCTCTTACGCTTAATCCATCATTCAACAAGCAAATCTTACTCACTACATGCCCTTAGCTAATCCCCCGTGCACAAAAATGCCAACTCAGATTTCGGACACTCCAAACCTGTTTGAGCCGCACCTATACCGAAGGATTGCAGGAGCTCTTCAATATCTTACTATCACTCGACCAGACATAGCATATGCCGTCAACATCTTATCTCAACATATGCACGATCCAAACAGCCAACACAACTATCTTCTCACAAGGATGCTTCGCTACATTCAAGGAACAATTGATTTTGGCTTACCAATCACCAAATCAAATTTGCAACTCCGTATCTTCTTTGATGCAGACTGGGCCGGCGATCCAATTACCAGAAAGTCTACCTCAGGCTATTGTACCTTTCTCGGAGACACTCTCGTCTCTTGGACAGTCAAGAAACAAAGCATTGTCTCTAGATCCTCCACTGAATCGGAGTACCATGCCTTAGTAGCTGACACTATCTGGACCAAACGGCTGCTATCATACTTTCAAGGGCACCACGAGAATCCCATAGATCTATTCTGTGACAATATGTCCGTGATTGCTTTAGCAAACAACCCAGTCTTTCATGCCAAAATCAAACACATAAAAATTGATCAACGCTTCATCCGGGATCACATTCAAAACAACAATATTCAACTGCTGCCAATAAACACGAAGGATCAAATAGCAAACATCCTCACGAAGCCGTTATCCACTCCTAGGTTCCAATACTTAAGATCCAAACAGACAATCACTCAAGATTCGTCAGCTTGCAGGGGACTATTAGAACATAAATAAATAAACTTAATTAACTTGTATTCTTTCTAACCTATAAGGGTCTGACACATGTAAATACTCTTGAGGTATTATCTATATATAGGCATCCTGTACATCTGTAGGCGATATACGAAATCACATTTCTGTTTCTATCTTCTCTGTTCCGTCTTCTCTCTGGTTCTTGAATCTCTACAGTTAATAACAGCAATGAACTTGAAATTTAAACGGAAGAGTTCACCAAATTTTGCAAATATCAAGAGGCATCAAGACACCATACAATTAGAATTACTCTCCAACAAAATGATTTGGTTGAAAAAATTAATAGAATCACTTTTGAAATAGTACATCACAAGTCATGCAAGCTTTCCGAAGAGTTTTAAGTTAAAGAAATCAGCATTGTAGCATATTTATTCAGAAAAAATCTAAAAGTCCCTAAATTATTCGTTTGTGGCTAATTTAGTCCCTATGTATCACGTTACTTTAATATAGCCCCTCGAATAAACAAAATTGATCCAAAATGATCCCACATGTTGTAACTATGATATAAAATTAATCTTAATTTAGTCCCTTGACTATATAAAATTGATCCCAATTTAGTCCTAAATGAATCATTTTGGACCAATTTTGCATAGACAAGGGACAAAATTGGAGCAAAATAATACTTTGAGACTAAATGAACCACATACAAACAGTCAAGTGACTATTTTTAAGTTTACTCCCATATTTATTTGAGCAATAGATGTCCATCTATAGCTATTAGTTTCAAGATATCACAGGCTGATCGAAGCAAAAAATCAGTAGATTACCCAATGCTGAAAACTTTTGAGTGCATAGCTTATGCTCATGTCAAACAAGACAAGCTTAAGCCACATGTTATAAAGTTTATTTTTATTGGGTATCCTAAGGGAGTTCAGGGATACAAAATATTGTGCTTGAAATCTAGATTTACAAAGCATTTGATTAGCAATAAATTGCAGATCTAATCAAAAGGGTTGAAGTTCAAGATAACGGGATAAATGCAAGGCATGCATTGGTGCTTGAGGTGGAGCAATCAAGCCAAGATAATTGTGATGTTGGTGATCACGATCTAATAGAACTGTATTCTGAAGGATTGAGACAACAATCAAGTGATGATAGATAAGAGTAGTCCTATAGTTCAGCAAGGAATAGATCATGTTGTAGATTATGCATTTTTGGCCTGATTAATAACTAGGGTTGAGCTGAACTCTTATAAAGAAGCAATCGAGAGGGCTGGAAGAAATAAGGGCATCAAGATATGCTATCACTTATGAAAACAATACATGAGAATTGGTGGATTGGCCATGAAACCTGAAGGTGATAAGTAGCAAGTGGCTATATAGGAAAAAGGAAGGTATATCTGAAATTGAAGACCCTAAATTCAGAGCAAGGTTGGTTACGAAAGGTTTTACATGACAAGGTGTGGATTACACCGTTCTGTTCTCCCTAGTTCTAAGAAATACATCAATAAGGATATTGCTAGCGATGGTAACTAAATTCAACATGGGCATAGAGCAAATGGATGTAAAGGTTGCACTTCTCCATGGAGAATTAGAAGAAATTAATAATCTACGCAGCAACCTCATGGATTCATTAAAAGGGGAGCAAAAAATCAGGTATGCCTACTCAAAAGATCTTTATTCTGAAGCGACCTGCAAGTTAGCTAATAATAGAGAAAAACAAAGTAGCGGAAGAAAGTAAGGTGAGATGGAACTATTGATCGTTCTATTCCATAGTTCCTGTAGAATGCTTAAGGCGATACATATAGAGGAGGCCGTTTGTTGCCAGAGCAAACTATTGGCTGATTAGTCAATTACAGGAAGTGGCCTTGTGTTGAAATGATGTCCTGCGGTGAGTAGTGGAGCAGAGCTTGATACGTTGGCTGGCGTATCACATAGCTTATCGGGTGTGCTAACAGTCCCCCGCAAACTCAGGATTCATGAGAGGTGATCGTGAGTTTGTTACAGAGCATTTGAAACCGGCTTGTAGATAATGGCTTGGTTAGAAGATCGGCCGGTTGGTCAAGGGAGCTGATATGATGAACTGAGATCTCATTAGAGAGAATTCGATCTCTGATAAAGTGATAATCGATTTCGATGTGTTTGGTACGAGCATGAAACACAGGGTTGTTCGCTAGAGCGAGAGCAGATATGTTATCACAGGAAAGTGATGTTGGAGAGGAGACCGAAACCTGGAATTCGGCGAGCAGGCGACGGAGCCATATGATGTCCGATGTTGCTGAGGCGAGTGAACGATACTCTGCCTCAGTTGAGGATTTGGCAACAGTAGGCTGTTTCTTCACACACCATGAAACAAGTGTGTTTCCTAGAAACGTGCAGTAGCCGGTGATAGATCTTCTATCGGAAGTATCCGATGCCCAATCAGAATCGGAAAATGATGTGAGCTGTAAGTTGCCTCTCGTGATGGGGAGGCCAAAATGAATGGTTCCATTGATGTAGCGAAGTAGTCGCTTGAGAATTGCCTGAGATTGATCGGTTGGTTGATGCATATTCTGGCAAACCATGTTGGTGGCGAAAGCGATGTCTGGTCTTGTAATTGTGAGGTATTGCAAAGAGCCTGCTAGCTTGCGGTATGTAACGGGATCGAAGTTGGACGCGACGGAATTGGTCGAGGACCCCTTGACCGCAATGGGAGTTGAAGCAGGCTTGCATTGACTGAGGCCGGCTGCTTTAAGGATGTCTAGAGCATATTGAGCTTGGCTTAAGAAGTAGCCGTTTGGTGTATGGGATACCTGTATACCAAGAAAGAATGATATTGGCCCAAGGTCTTTGATGGAGAATTGGGAATGCAGCTTGCTGATTAAGGAGTTGATTTTCTGTAGATTGTTGCCGGAGATCAGAAGATCATCTACGTATATGAGAACGTAGATGTGAGTGTCACGGTCGCTGTAGATGAGAAGAGATGGGTCCGACTTGCTGAACTTGAAGTTGGTCGATAAGAAGAAGCCCGTAAGAGTTTGGAACCAGAGCCGTGGAGCTTGTTTTAGGCCATAAATGGTCTTATGAAGTTTACAGACATAGTCGGGATGAGTCGTGTCGACAAATCCAGGGGGCTGTTTCATGTAGACGTCTTCGTCAAGAGTGCCGTGAAGAAAGGCATTAGACACGTCTAATTGGAGAACCGGCCATTGCTTCGTGAGTGCAACGGTGAGCAATATGCGAATCGTAGGCATTTTTGCTACAGGACTGAAGGTCTCTTTATAATCAATTCCATATTGTTGCTTGAAGCCTTGAGCAACGAGACGTGCTTTGTATCTGTCGATAGTGCCATCTGGTTTGAGCTTAGTTCGGTATGTCCACTTGCATCCTAAAATTGTATGGTTTTGAGGGATAGGCACGAGTGACCATGTCCCTTGTCTCTGTAAGGCATCGAATTCTTCGGACATTGCTAACCTCCATTCCAACAGTTTTGAAGCTTGAGTGAAACAGGAGGGAGTGGAGGAAGGACGGGTTGCAGCTAGGAGGTTGAAGTGTTTCTTGGGTTTGAGGGAACCGGTTTTGTATCTTGTGATCATTGGATGTTGGGTAGGTTGGGGAAGTGAAGGCAGAGGAGGTGAAATGGTTTGTGTTTGGGATTGGGAAGAGGAGGGAGTTTGCTGGGGCGGTGAAGATGTGGTGTTGGAAGTATTTGAGGACTTGGAGTTGGATGTTGTTGTGGGAAGATTATGACTGAGTGTAGAGATTGGAATGAGAGTGAGAGGAGTATGTGTAGGTGAATGTTGAGGGGATTGTGTTGTCGAATGGGATGGTTGGGATAGAAAGTTATTTTCGTGAAATACGACGTGACGAGAGATATGGATTTTCGAAGTTGTGGGGTTAAAACATCTATAACCTTTATGATTTGAGGAGTATCCGAGGAAGATGCACGCAGCTGAACGAGGGTGGAGTTTGCTTGGAGTAAGTGGACGGAGCCAAGGGTAGCATAGGCACCCAAAGGTTTTAAGATGGTTGTAGGAGGGTTGATGACCATGAAGTAGATTGTATGGATTGTCGAAGTTGAGAGTTTTGGAGGGTAACCGGTTGATTAAATAGTTTGCCGTGAGGAGGGCTTCAAGCCAGAATTTAAGTGATAAATTAGAGGCATGAAGGAGAGTTCGTGTGGTTTCTATGAGATGACGATGTTTTCTTTCAGCAATGCCGTTCTGCTCCGGCGTGTAGGGACAGGTTAATTGGTGGTGAATGCCGTGGTGATTTAAAAGTTTTGTGAACTCTCTGGATGTGTATTCGCCTCCGCCATCGGAGCGGAGATTTTTGATTTTTGAGTTGAATTGAGTTTGGATTAAATTGATAAGAATTTGTAGTTTGTTTATTGTTTCATTTTTAGTGAACATAGGATATACCCATGAGAAGCGGGTGAAGTCATCAACGAAGACAACGTAGTAATTATAGCCATTTAGAGAAGAAAGGGGTGCAGGTCCCCAAACGTCTGTATGCATAAGAGTAAAAGGAGCTGAAGTCTTTGTTTCATTTAATGAAAAGGGTAATTTGTGGCATTTCGCCACATTACACGAGTTACATAAAAAAGTAGAAGCACTAGAAAGACAGATTGTCGGATTTTTCCTAGCTATAAGCTGAAGCAGTTGAAGATGTGGATGGCCCAGTCTTGCATGCCACAGGGAGGTAGAAGACTTGATGGTTTGTAGTGCAAAATTTGGGGTGGAGGGAAGGATGTAGAGACCGTCTCTCGTTCGACCTTTAAGGATTGTTTGAGTAGTTTGATTGTCCTTGATTGAGAAGCCAAGAGAGTCAAAACAGATGGAACAATTATTATCAGTGGCGAGTTTATGAATAGATAAAAGATTGTGTTTGAGTGCTGGAACATGAAGCAGATTATGGAGTTGGAGCTTACGGTGAGTGTTTGGAAGAGGTAGAAGCCCCTGTCCGCTGGAATGGATGGGAAGAGAAGTCCCGTTAGCAATGGAGATGCTGTCGCTGCCTTCATAAGGTTGGGAGTTCTGCAAGTTAGCTGCGTCTGATGTGAGGTGGGATGATGAGCCAGAGTCTAAATACCATTCGGTTGTGGTATTGGATTGAGCTGCTGGCTGAGTAAGCAGTGCCTTGGGTGAAGCTGATGGTGAGTAGTTAAGATTGCACCTGTGCCAGCAGTGGAGAGCAATGTGGCCCTGTTTACCGCAGATTTGACATGTTGGCCTTGGCGAATCGGTGGTTGTGGACGATCGGTTGCTGCTGGGTGGCCTGGAGGAGTATCCTCTTCCACGGTAGTTGCCTCTGGTTCGGCCTGCTCTACCGCGCCCTGCAAATAATGCAACATTTTCTGTTGTTGGCGCGGAGTCTCTGTGAAGTTCATTGCTGATATGGATCTCCTCGCTGCAAAGTAATGGGTAGAGAGTATCTAAAGTGAAATGCTCAGGAATTGTGCGGATGGTTGTTTTGAAGGAGTTATATGCAGGAGGTAATCCATTTAGGATGTGCATAATTATGTCCTCTGTATCGACATGGGATCCTGCCGCTGCTATGCCATCTACGAGCTGTTTGATGCGGGATAAGTACTGTGACATGGTGGAATCTTTCATTTGAATACAATGCAGCTCGTTTTTCAATTGTATAACTCTTGACCTGTTAGTCGGTTGCAGCCTGGTAGCGAGAGTGCTCCAGATTTCAGCTGTTG